CTTCCCCGCTCTGACACGTGGTTGTGGCTTCCTCTAGTCGAGATCGCGGTTGCAGATAGACCTGTGCATACTGGCTGTGAAGCTTTTTTGTGTGCTTTTTAGCACATACAGTACTGTACAGTATTATTCAATCCAGCATGGCTCCAAAGAAAATGCAGAGCTGTAATGAAGGTAACTAGAAAGTGCAGAGGGGTAATGAAGGTAACCAGAAACTGCAGAGCATGCATGGTGGTAAAAAAAGTGCAGAGTGACAATGTAGGTGACCAGAACGTGCAGAGCGGTAATAAAGGTGACCAGAACGTGCAGAGCGGTAATGAAGGTGACCAGAACGTGCAGAGCGGTAATGAAGGTGACAAGAATGTGCAGAGCGGCAATGAAGGTGGCCAGAATGTGCAGAGCGGTAATGAAGGTAACCAGAAAGTGCAGAGCGGTAATGAAGGGGACCAGAACGTTCAGAGCGGTAATGAAGGTGACCAGACCGTGCAGATCGGTAATGAAGGTGATCAAAACATGCAGAGCGGTAATGAAGGTGACAAGAACGTGCAGAGCGGTAATGAAGGTGGCAAGAACGTGTAGAGCGGCAATGAAGATGACAAGAATGTGCAGAGCAATAATGAAGGTAACAAGAAGGTTTTGAAGAAAATAACCATTGAATTGAAGGAAATTGTAGAATAGCATGAGTGTGGTTTTCTTGTGACTGATCTGGCCTCGGAGTACAAGATGATGAAGTTGACAATCTAGACTATTTTGAAGAATAAAGATGCCATCAAAGGAGCTGATGTGGCAAAAGGAGTAACGATGTTAACCAAGCAGAGGATACAAGTACTGGAAGTGGTGAAAAAACTTTTGTTAGCGTGTTTATGAGAAACAGCTGGCAGGTGATAGTGTTAGTGAAGCTATGATCTGTGCCAGGAAATTACACAGCGATTTACTGCAAAAAAACCCACTACAAGTACAACAAGGGATGAATTTAAAGCCAGTAGAGGGTGGTTTGATAAATTCTGCAAGAGAAGTGGCATCCACTATGTGATAAGACATGGTGAGGCTTCCAGTTCTGACATGGCCGCTGCAGAAGGCTACAAGAAAGACTAGGCGGAATTCATGAAGGCAGAAGCATACGTCAACTGCGATGGAACAGGGCTCTTTTGGAAGATGATGCCGAACAGAACCTATCTCACGCAGGAGGAAAAGGCACTACTAGGGCTCAAGCCCATGAAGGACAGATTTACCCTTTTGCTGTGTGCAAGCGCCGATCTGAAGATTCAGTCACTACTGGTGTACCATTCCCAGACCCCTCGTGCCTTCAAGGAACAGAATGTGAACAAGGCCAAATTGCCTGTCATGTGGAGGGCCAATGCGAAAGCTTGGATCACAAGGCAGTTGTTCATATAATGGCTGCACGAGTTGTTCGCACCCACTGTTAAGAAATATCTTTCTGACCAACTGCGTGAAAGGTGCCTTCTTCTGATGGACAATGCCCCGGCACACCCTCCAGCCTTGGTGTATGATATGGACACGGAGTATGAATACATAAAGGTCAAGTTCCTCCCCCCACAACACACTTCTTCTGCAGCCCATGGACCAGCAAGTGATTTGCAACTTCAAGAAGCTGTACACAAAGGCGCTCTTCACCAGGTGCTTTAATGTCACTGAAGAGACATCCTTGACTCTGGAAGAAACATTTCAATATCCTCCACTGCATCAACTTTATTGACAAAGCCTGGGAAGATGTTACGTACCGAACCTTAAACTCAACCTGGAGGAAACTGTGGCCAGAATGCGTCACTGAACGTGACTTTGAAGAGTCTGATGCACTCATCAGACTCTTCAGTGGAGGATATTGTGTCCATGGGCAAGAGTATGGGTTTGGACGTCGATGGTGCAGACATAGAGGAGCTTGCTGAGGACCATAAGGAGGAGCTGACGACGGAAGAACTTGCTGAACTCCAGAGTGAGCAGCAGAAGGCACTTGTTGAGGAGCATTTTACTGAGGGAGACGGAGGAGGTTAGCAGTGATGTGATAAAAATCCATTATGGAAAAATGGAATGAGTGCCAGGATTTCTTTGAGAAGCACAACCCTAACATAACTGTAATGAACAGAGTGTTGAATCTGATGAACGATAACGTGGTCTCATTTCCGGAGGGTTATGCAGCGCAGGGAAAAAACAAGTGACAGACAGATTTTGTGCCAAAATTGAACCTGCAGCTAAGAGACAAAGAGAAGAAACCTCTGAAGGAGATCTCCCCGATATCCTTATGGAGGGGGACTCACCCTCCAAACAATAACCTCCTCCCCACCCACCTACCTGTCCTCCACGCCAGAATTCGCCTCAAGAAAGGTTAGTATTCACTCTCTTCGTACTGTACTTTTTCATATTTTTGTGGTTAAAATTTTTTTGTACATATGGTTCAAAACGGATTACCTTTATTTACATTGAACCTTTATGGGGAAATTTGATTCGGCTCACGACCAGAATCGTTGAGCGAATTAAGAGGTACCACTGTATAATGAAAAAAGTACCAGAAATTTCGAAAAAAATCTGTTTTACCTACGTTATCTTAACAAAACATTTATTCTTACCCTTATTTTGGGTAAAATATAAAAGACGGTGTCACGATGGGTAAATAGACACCAAACATGTCGAGCTTTAAAAATGCTTGCGCCTGCGAAATCGCAATAAAATACTATACCCAAAATTGGCCAGAGGCGACGTTTTAAAAGCTTTTACCGCTCATTAATTTAGTGTGATCAGTGAATAATGGACCTCAAATTATTGCCCTCGCAGTGATATGCAACATGTGCAATCGTCGTTTTCGCATGCATGTATTGGGGCTGGGACTTTTTTTACAAATGTGGGTTTTTTATTCTTTTCTATGTGTGACTTTTTTGGGGAAACTTAAAATTTGTAAAAAATTTTTCGCTTAACTTTATTATTATCACATAGGGGGCTACGAAACCCCCAATGTGATAGCAAAGAGGATGTGACAGGTCCTCTTTATGGCGCTTAGGGGACCCCCAAAGAAGCTGATGAAGCAGAGATCTGCTTCACTAGCTTCTCTAGAGGTTCTGTAGCCGGAGAGTGACAGACGAATGCAGAAGTGATGTAATATACATCACTTCTGCATTGTGACACCGGAGGGAGATCGTGTACTGATCCCCCTCTAATCTCCTGTCACAAAGCTGCCGTGCTAGTCCCGGCCGCCCCGGGCACAGTGGAGCTCGGGACCAGCGCTGCAGATTACATTTTGACAGTTGTGCGTGAGTGAGCCGGGCTAACGGCCACTCACATCCAGGAAGCTCCCGGCTGGCCGTTTAATTACAATGGCCGACCGGGAAGCGGTTAAAAAAGGTAAAACAAATAAGTGCTAAAGTAAAAAAATTATAAAATTAAAAATTGATAAAGTAAAAAATAAGATAAATAATAAAAAAAATACCAACCATGCCATTTGTATGCCAATAAATGCATGCCCCCATTCCACTGTGTGCCATATTGTGGTAGCGCTCTCTAACGCACAGAATGTGCATTAACGGGTAAGTTCACTTCCCCAAGCCATTTGGGGAAAATTGAAGTACCCGCTCATATCTGGCCACCTCTCGCCACCACCCAACCCATTCCCCAACCCCCGTCATACTTGCCTTTTGGCGAGAGGTCCTTCTGCTCCGCCAGTACAGGTGTACTATTTGAACCCCACACTGCCGTCCAGTGCAGCCCTGCGCCATGGATTTTGCATTTTGCTCTCAAAACCCGTAAATTAAAACCCGTAAATTCAGTTTTTAATGAAACATTTTTTTTGTATCAGGACAAGTAGATTCGGGCCCCTGCTTTAGTCCTTGTACAAGTACTACTTGTACAAGGATATCTCCTTGTACAAGTAGTACTTGTACAAGGATATCAGAGAGATGTCCCAGGCCCAGGAGGAGGACCTATCTCTTGACCTCTATCCTAAGCTCGAGGACACTTTCTGTCCTTGTGGATGTGGTTCGTGGTTGTTTGTAGTTACAGCCCCCTGCATCATCATTGCCAAAGGTTACTAGTCTGGGTTCCTAAACGGGAGGAGGGGGGAGCGGGTGTCGGCCTCTTAGGTCTGAAGCATTCCCAGTGCTTGGGTCCAGAGCATCGTAACTAATCGTTTCTGGAGGCAGAAAGGTTTCCGGTATTTTACTCCAACCTGTTTACTGTCCCCAAGATCCTAAATGAGTTTGCGTGGAAACAAAGAATGTCTATTTACATATCCCCATTATTTCTGTCCATCAATGCTACCCCTGTATTGATTGCGCTGGAAGGGGCTCACAACGGATGTCAACCTTTCAGGCTGAGGCCTAGTTACCTTTTGTCAGCCTAAAGGCTGAAGACACTGATTTATTCACTTGAATGCTTGCAGATGGACTAGCATACAACAACCGAACAGCCGAGGTAAATCGAGGACTGAATCCAACCGCTGTGCGTTTTGCCCATAAATATAACTATCGTGGAAAACTGCGCTTGGAGTAATCAACACTATTTAGATGCTGCTCTATGTCTGTGTCCAAATGTGAATCTAAAAGCAACAATGTGTCAGTAATTAACTCAAACAAACTTGAAGCATAGCAGTGTACCGGATAATGCAGCCAGGCAGTGTAAAATATATAAAAACACTTATGTGATCTCCGAAGTGGTAAAAACGATATGGTAAACAAAAATTGGAAAAGACGGAAGCGCCACTACCTGGCGCAATAAATGTGGTTAGGTGTGGCAGGAAAGAAAGGGAATGGTCTCACCTGTAGCTGGGTGAGCGCAAACGTGTGGCCCCTAGGGTGGGGTGTAGTCGAGCGGTGGATTCGGTCCCCTTCTCTGTTTGTTGGCTTCGGTCCCTCGTGTGCGGTTGGGGACAAAGGGTAGAAAGACCGGGGGTGAGGTTATTTGGTAGGCAAAGGAGGGGTGGACTTCTGAAACTCACTTGTCGCACGTCTTTTCCAATTTTTGTTTACAGTACACACGTCGGACGCCCCGGTCCGAACTCAACGGAAGCTGACGTAAAAACGATATGGTGACTATGTCTCACAAGTGTACATGCACACAGTGTTCTATTACAAATTAAAGTATCACATTACATGAGACAGCTCATTGTTCAGAACTAATTATACAATAAAAAATAAGTGAATGAAAAGCATGTAAGGTTCCAACAAATAGTGTCTCGCAATCGAAAAAACATCCACTTTTTTCTCTGTGATCTTCAGTGCTCTAAATGACGGTATTCTGTGCTTCTATATGCTACTGAATTGCCCTTATCAGAAAGATACGATGTTATGCGGTAATATATAAGAACAAACACGACTCGCTCATCTACCTTTTATCTCTCCACTCTCCTGGGAAAAGGAAAATCTGATTGAGACCACACATGATCCTCTCTGTCTTTATCACTCAAGGAAAAAGAGAGCTCCCATAGTGCAGTACAATTTAGATAAAATCTTTTATTGAAATAAGAACGTACTTATAAAAAGGACAAGAGGTAACAGCATAAAATTGCCTTGCAGTGTCAGACGTGGGAGACATACACAGACTCCTCCCTTGACGTATTTCATCGAATTACTTTTTGAAAAGGGTGTATTAGGTGTCAGACACCCTTTTGGAAATGTCCTTCGACAAAACATGTCAAGGGTGGAGTCTGCGTTTGACTCCCACGTCTGACACCTTGATACTGGGCCTTTCTCTTTTGAACGTCATATGAAAAGTCAGAAAAAAACATCACCCCAGCCACAGATCACGTGCTCTGCGGAGAATCATTTCCTTGTCCCTGTAATTAGAGATTCTAATCAACAGTGTCCTGGGAGGATTCCCTGGCAATGGAGGGCATGAGGGAATTCTATGTGCTCCATCAATCATGAACGTAGGAGATAAATAATCCCTTCCCATTGTATCTGTTTAACCATTTCTCAAAGAAAGTCACTGGATTTAATCCCTCTGTATACTCAGGGATGCCCACCATTCTGATGTTTTTCCATCTTGATCTGTTTTCCATTTCCTCAAGCTTAAGAGAAGAAGCAGCTGGTTTTTGCATCGTCATTTTAAGATCACCACACAGATATATTTGCAGTGTGGAAAATACTTATTTGATCCCCTGCAGATTTTGTAAGTTTGCCCACTTACAAAGAAATTAAAGGTCTTTCATTTTTATCATAGTTGTATTTTAAATGATAGAGACAGAATATCAACCAAAAATCCAGAAAAAACACATGATACAAATATTAAAAATTGAGATGCAATTCAGTGAGTAAAATAAGTATTTGATCCCCAAGCAAAACATGACTTAGTACTTGGTGGAGAAACCCTTGTTGGCAAGCAGAGGTAAGGCGTTTCTTGTAGTTGGTTACCAGGTTTGCACAAATCTTAGGAGGGATTTTGGTCCACTCTTCTTTACAGATCTTCTTTAAATCCTTAAGGTTTCTTGGCTGTCACTTGGCAACTCGAATTTTCAGCTACCTCCATACATTTTCTATTGGATTATGGTCTGGAGACTGGCTAGGCCACTTCATGACCTTAATGTGCTTCTTCTTAAGCCACTGCTTTGTTGCCTTGGCAGTATGTTTTGGGTTATTTTCATGCTGAAAGACCCACCCATGACCCATCTTCAGTATTCTGGCTGAGGGAAGGAGGTTCTCATCCAAGATTTTACATGGCCTCGTTTATTGGGCCCTCAGTGCGGTCAAAGTCGGCCTGTACTTTTAGCAGAGAAACAGCCCCAAAGCATAATGTTTCCACCTCCGTGCTTGACTGTAGGGATGGCGTTCTTAGGGTCATAGTCAGCATTTTTCTTGCTGACTAATGCCAAAGAGTTCAATTTTGGTCTGATCTGACTGCAGCACTTTCTCTCAATCCTTCTCTGAATCATTTAGATGTTCATTGGCAAACTTCAGATGGGCCTGTACATGTGCCTTCTTGAGGAGGGGGACCTTGCGGGCACTGCAGGATCTCAATCCATGTTGGTGTATTGTGTTACCAATGGTTTGTTTGGTGACTGTGGTCCCAACTGCCTTGAGATCATTCACAAGCTCTTCCCATGTAGTTCTGGGCTGATCCCTCACTTTTCTCATGATCAACCTTACCCCATGCGGCAAAATCTTGCAAGGAGCTCCAGACCGAGGGTGATGTTTAGTTATTTTGTATTTCTTCAATTTGCGAATATTTGTATTCCTTCCATTTGCAAATAATCGCTCAAACAGTTGTTTGCTTCTCACTAAGCTTCTTGCTGATAGTCTTGTAGCCCATTCCCGCCTTGGAGGTCTTTAATCTTGTCCCTAATGTCCTTTGACGGCTCTTTTGTTTTGCCCATGGTGGTGAGGTTTGAATGGAAGAAAGAGATTCTGTGGATGTGAACTGCAACTCAATTTATAACATTTGTAGCGTGTTTTTTTCTGGATTTTTGGTTGATATTCTGTCTATCATTTAAAATACATCTATAATAAAAATTGTAGACCTTTAATTTCTTTGTAAGTGGGCAAACTGGGCAAAATCTGCAGGAGATCAAATAATTATTTTCCTCACTGGAGAAAGTATCCTCCAGTTTACTAATTCTGTCTTCTGCTTCATCTACCCTTTCTCTGATTTTTTTGCATATCATACCCGAGAAGAGAGACGTCCACTCGCAGTGCTTGTATTTGATCTGCTAATTAAATCAGAGACACATTACAAGCTTGTACTGCTGAGAGCGCCTAATTTAATGTAGGGTTATC